GTCCAGAGAGAAGGGTCTTTTCCTGATTGCTGATTGCTTTTCCAGAGGCAGGGCAGCTTCCTTGTAGATTTCCCCCAAGGAGAGGGGAAGGGGGCAAAAGGGTCAGGGCAAGGTCAGGAAATATGAGGGGAAATATAGAAATACAGGAGAAAATATGAAAATATAGAAATCATAATACAGAGAGCAAACCAAATCCTTCTGTGGCATGATTTTCAGTAATAAATTGGTTACTTTCTGCTGTAAACATATGAAAATAGAGCATAAAGATACACACCAAACTGACCAAGGCTTAAGCCTGGCGTCCTTGCCCTTAGCAAAACTATAAGTTACTATCTTATGCGGGGGTCATGTTCGACGTCGCAATAAGGTAATAGCTCACTATGTGGATTTTCAACTTCCAAAATTCCCAGCTTGTATTGACAGTCCTTGGGGATTCTGGGAGCTGAAATCCAAGACACTTGCAGTAAGAGATGTCTCTGGAGAATTAGAAAATACGTGGATGATTGCCAGGGAGCTGCTGTCAGCCCCAACGTTGTTGTGATTCTGAACGTTGTACGTTTTCCGCTTTCTTCTGCCATTCTTCTTATCTGATGCCTAGGAAGTGAAATATTAGCTTGTCAAAGAAATGAGCTTTTCCCTGATGACGGGAACATGTTCTTTTGATAAAACTAATTTTGGGGACTGGCAGAACTGGGAGGCAAGCAAAGCAAATATGAAGATATATTTTGCATTGGGCGGGAGCGGGGAGGCAAATATGAATGACGTGACATTTGTTCTTTCCCATTTTTTGAAAAGGATGATGATGGTGGCATCCTTGAAGTCGGCTGGTATTTTCTCAGTCACCCACACTTTTTCAATGAGCTGGTGGAATGTTTTGTCCGCTCAGGTCTACCCCTTTTAAAGACTTCAGCAGGGATCCCATCAGGTCTGCTGGCTTTTTTTTTTTTTTTGATGGCATTGCTGACATCCTCCAAACTAGGCAGTGCTGCAAGCTCATCCCTGGTTTGTTGTTGCGGGATTTGTGAGATAACTTCTTTGGCCACGTTAGAGCTGCGATTCAGGAAGTTTTGGTAGTGCTCTTTCCAATTTAGTGCAATTCAGACGTTTGGTTCTATCTGATGAAGGTGTATGCCATGATATCTTGGTCCGTAGATGACCTTTGTGGCTTTGTGGTCCCTCTTTGGACCTCAGCTTTTGCACTGCCATAGATCGTTTTCTTCGCAGCATAGGTTTTTCTTTTCTTGTCAAGTAACTGTTGGATCTCTGTCATTTCATCAAACCAATCTTGATGGCTTGTTCTTGGTTGTCTTGCTGCTCTTCTGAGGTCTGAGGTGGAGTCTCCCTTGGCCTGTAAAGCCCAGTTGAAGTGGTTCAGTTCATCTTGAAGGAGGTGGGCTTCGCAGATTCTTTTTGCACGGTCTGCCAAGGCTTGAATGGTGCTTCTTTTTTGACTTGGGTGATGGTTGGAGTTTTGATGTAGATATTAGGCCTGTTTGATCAAGAAAAAATTTGTTTCTAAAATCGATTTGTAATTGGGGTGTTTTTTTGTTTCGATATTTAAAATAATTACAAAACTTTCCAAAAAAAAGTTTCGGTATTTACGAAATTTCGTAAATATTAACAAAACATTTTGTAAAGATGGGGCCTTTTTTTTTAAATATTTTTTAAATATTTTTTAAATTTAATTATTAAATAATTTAGTAGAATAGGGAGGAGAAATTAAGGGAAGGCAGGCACTCACTCTGGCGGGCCCTCTCGCTCGCCGCTCGCCCTCTCGCTCGCCGCTCGCCCTCTCACTCGCCCTCTCGCTCGCCGCTCGCCCTCTCGCTCGCCCTCTCGCGGGCCCTCTCGCTCGCCGCTCGCTCGCCCTCTCGCTCGCCGCTCGCCCTCTCACTCGCCCTCTCGCTCGCCGCTCGCCCTCTCACTCGCCCCCTCGCTCGCCGCTCGCCCTCTCACTCGCCCCCTCGCTCGCCTCTCGCCCTCTCCCTCGCCGCTCGCCCTCTCACTCGCCCTCTCGCTCGCCGCTCGCCCTCTCACTCGCCCTCTCGCTCGCTGCTCGCCCTCGCCCTCTCGCTCGCCCTCTCGCTCGCTTGCTCAGCCGGCGCGGAGAGAGGAGAGCTCCCAGCAAGCCAGGCGGCCATCTTACGTATTTCCGAAATGGACGGAAATACAAAATTTTTTGGCGCCTGCCGTTTCGATATTTAAAAACCCTTCCGGGTTTGAAAATATGTTTTGTTATCGTTTCGTATATGCAAAAATTAACGAATGTTTAACGAATTAACGAATTAACGAACGAAACCGCACAGGCCTAGTAGATATCTATCTGTGTGTGTGGGTTTTCTGTAAACGGTGTGAACCAATTGTTGATCTGGTTCGTGGATGACTAGGACATCTAGAAAAGGCAGTCTTCCTTCATCAGAAGAGCTGCAAGACCGATAAGAAGCCACGAGAGTCAAGACGAAGATCCACCCAGAGGGAAAGGGTTCTTGCCAGACATCAAGGGAACCACTGACTGCAGAGGGAAGCTGATGAGGAAACACAACATACAAACCATCTCCAGACCCACCAAGAAAATCCAACAAATGCTACGTTCAGCAAAGGACAAGAGGGACCCTCTCACCTCTGCAGGAGTCTACTGTGTACCGTGCAGCTGTGGACAAGTCTAAATAGAGACCACCAAACGCAGCAGCATTGCCCAACCACGCATCAAGGAACATGAAAGGCACTGCAGACTCCTTCAACCAGAGAAGTCAGCCATAGCAGAGCACCTGATGAACCAGCCTGGACACAGCATATTATTTGAGAACACAGAAATGCTGGACCACTCCAACAACCACCATGTCAGGCTACACAGAGAAGCCATTGAAATCCACCAAGAAGCATGTGGACAATTTCAACAGAAAGGAAGAGACCATGAAAATGAACACAATCTGGCTACCAGTATTAAAAAACTCTAAAATTACAACAGCACAACAACAGAGAGGAAACAAACAGGCACATCTAATCACCTCTCAACAAAAGTTTGCTCTAGGCACAGTCAGGCCATTGTATGCTAATCAAGGTGGTCAGTTGAAACATCCCCACCTAGCTCCAGCAGACAAGAGTCCTTTGTCCCACCCTGGACATCATTCCACAGATATATAAACCCTTTTTCCTAGTTCCAACAGACCTCACTCCCTCTGAGGATGCTTGCCATAGATGCAGGCGAAATGTCAGGAGAGAATGCCTCTACAACATGGCCATAAAGCCCGAAAAAACCTACAACAACCCAGTGATTCCGGCCATAAAAGCCTTCAACAATACATTATTATTATTATTGTTGTTATTAATATATCTATGGGCATCTAATCACCTCTCAACAAAAGATTTCCCCTGGCACTGCCAAGCCATCAAATGCTAATTAAGGTGATCAGCTGAAACATTCACCCCTAGCTCCAGCAGACAAGAGTCCTTTGTCCCACCCTGGTCATTCCACAGATATATAAACCCTTTTTCCCAATTCCAACAGACCTCACTACCTCTGAGGATGCTTGGCATAGATGCAGGCGAAATGTCAGGAGAGAATGCTAGAGGCACTGCCAGGCCATCAAATGCTAGTCAAGGTGTTCAGTTGAAACATTCACACCTAGCTCCAGCAGACAAGAGTCCTTTGTCCCACCGTGGTCATTCCACAGATATAAACCCTTTTTCCTATTTCCAACAGACCTCACTACCTCTGAGGATGCTTGCCATAGATGCATGTGAAACGTCAGGAGAAAATGCCTCTGGACCATGGTCATATAGCCCGAAAAAACCTACAACAACCCAGCTTAGAAGTCCTTTCTGCTTTTGGTTTTTGTTGTTGTTTTTTTGAGTGAAGGACATCAATTGGCTTGTTAAGTGTCTTGTGTCCCAATTTGGGGTCAATTCCCAAATGACAAAATCAATTTTTTTGAGCGAAGGAAATGCATTGGGTTGTTAGGTGTCTCGTGTCCAAATTGGGTGTCAATTCCCAAATGACATAATCTAGGAAAATGGGTTTATATATCTGGAATGATGTCCAGGGTGGGACAAAGGACTCTTGTCTGCTGGAGCTAGGTGGCAATGTTTCAACTGACCACCTTCATTAGCATTTGATGGCCCCAGTGGTTTTTGAGTTCTGGTGGTATCACAAACGAACATTACATTTATATATATATATATATTAAAAAATTATTATTATGATAGATCTGAGATGAGAGAGAGAGAGAGAGGCGCCTCGGCCTTGTCTTCCTTTCCCGCCTTTTTTTTCCCTCAGAGGCCTGAGGGAGTAGAGGAGGCGAAAAGTAGTGCGCATGCGCGGCCCCGCCCACTCGAGGAAGAGTAGGAGGAGGGCGGGGGGGCGCAAAGTACCCGAGCCGCGATTTCCCAGCTTCCTTTTCGGTGGCCATTCCTCTTGAGTCCCTCAGCGTGGAGGAGGAGGAGGAGGAGGAAGGAGAGTGTAGTAGTGCGCACGCGCGAGGAATAGGAGGAGATGGAAGGGTGTAGTAGTGCGCACGCGCGAGGAGGAGGCGGCGGAAGAAGGGTGTAGTAGTGCGCACGCGCGAGGAGGAGGAGGAGGAGGAGGAAGAATGGTGTAGTAGTGCGCACGCGCGAGGAAGAGGAGGAGAAGATGGAAGGGTGTAGTAATGCGCACGCGCGAAGAGGAGGCGGTCGAAGCGTGAAGTAGTGCGCACGCGCGAGGAGGAGGAGGCGGTGGAAGGGTGTAGTAGTGCGCACGCGCGAGGAGGAGGAGGAGGAGGAGGAAGAATGGTGTAGTAGTGCGCACGCGCGAGGAAGAGGAGGAGAAGATGGAAGGGTGTAGTAATGCGCACGCGCGAAGAGGAGGCGGTCGAAGCGTGAAGTAGTGCGCACGCGCGAGGAGGAGGAGGCGGTGGAAGGGTGTAGTAGTGCGCACGCGCGAGGAGGAGGAGGAGGAGGAGGAGGAGGGCGGGGCCAATATCCGTCCAGGCCGAGATTTCCCAGCGTGCCTTTCGGCGGCCATTCCTCCTGCGTCCCTCAGCGGAAGCGGGCGCGCAAACAGAGGCGCTCCTGCGGCCTCTTGAGGTACTTGAGGCCTGGACGCCTGAGGGCTGCTGCTTCGGCCTGGCGTGTGGCCCCCGCTCGGTAAGGAGCCCGCCCGCCTTCGCTTCCCTTTCCCGCTTTCCTCCTCCTTCTCTTCTTCTCCTGTAGGCCCGGGCCGTTGCCTACGAGACGGGCGCCTCCGCCGCCATCTTGGCCTCCTTTCCCTCTCCCCCCCCCTCTTTCTCGCTTAGGGGGGGCGTCACGTGGCCTGGCCTGGGGGGGGGGGTCTCCTTTTAATTACGGCTCATCTCTTAATGGGGTCGTGCAATTCCACTATTATTAGTACTGTTATTATCTTGTAATAATTAGGGTGGGTAATTACTATTATTTAGGTTTTTGTGGGTTTTTTGGGGCTATAGGGCCATGTTCTAGAGGCATTCCCTCCTGACGTTTCGCCTGCATCTATGGCAAGCATCCTCAAAGGGAGAAAGGCCTGTTGCAACTAGGAAAAAGGGTTTATATATCTGTGGAATGATGACCAGGGTGGGACAAAGGACTCTTGTCTGCTGGAGCTAGGTCGGAATGTTTCAACTGACCACTTTGATTAGCATTTGATAGCCTCGCAGTGCCTCTAGCATTCTCTCCTGACGTTTCGCCTGCATCTATGGCAAGCATCCTCAGAGGTAGTGAGGTCTGTTGGAACTAGGAAGATGGGTTTATATATCTGTGGAATGACCAGGGTGGGACAAAGGACTCTTGTCTCCTGGAGCTAGGTGGGAATGTTTTAACTAACCACCTTGATTAGCATATAATGGCCTGGCAGTAACAATAATAATAATAAACCCACTACCAACTCCCCAAGGACTCTGTGCAAAAACAAACAGCAATACAGACGATAAATAAACTCATAAACAAGCAATAAACAGTAACAATAACATCACAACTCATTAAAAACCTATGGCAGGGTCAAATGTAATAATTAACATTATTTATCGTTAACAGAGACTGGAACAAACTTTTGTTGAGAAGTGATTAGATGTCCTTGTTTGTTTCCTCCCTGTTGTTGTGCTGTTGTAATTTTTGTGAGCACTGGTGGAGTGTTCATTTTTGAGCTCTCAGCGCCCAAACATGAATCAAGGAACATGAAAGGCACTGCAGACTCCTTCAACCAGAGAAGTCAGCCATAGCAGAGCACCTGAGGAACCAACCTGGACACAGCATATTATTTGAGAACACAGAAATGCTGGACCACTCTCACAACCACCAGGTCAGACGACACAGAGAAGCCATTGAAATCCACAAGAACATGTGGACAATTTCAACAGAAAGGAAGAGACCATGAAAATGAACAAAATCTGGCTAACAGTATTAAAAAACTCTAAAATTACAACAGCACAACAGCAGAGAGGAAACAACCAGGCACATCTTAACACCTCTCAACAAAAGATTTTCCCAGGCACTGCCAGGCCTTCAAATGCTAATTAAGGTGGTAAGTTGAAACATTCACACCTAGCTCCAGCAGGGAAGAGCTTTGTCCACCCTGGTCTTCCACAGATATATAAACCCCCACTACCTCTGAGGATGCTTGCCATAGATGCAGGAAAATCAGGAGAGAATGCCTCTAGACCATGGCCATATAGCCCGAAAAAACCTACAACAAGTAGTGAGGTTTGTTGGAACTAGGAAAAAGGGTGGAATGACCAGGGTGGGACAAAGGACTCTTGTCTGCTGGAGCTAGGTGTGAATGTTTCAACTGACCACCTTGATTAGCATTTGATGGCCTGGCAGTTTTTTGGTGTGGCTTTTTAATACCTGGGAGAATAGTTTGTTGAGAGGTGATTAGCAAAATCTGGCTACCAGTATTAAAAAACTCTAAAATTACAACAACAAAAGAACAGAGGGGAAACAATCAGAGACAGCTAATCACCTCTCAACAAAAAATTCCCCCAGGCACTAGCAAGCCACACCAAAAACTGCCAGGCCATCAAATGCTAATCAAGGTGGTAACACCTAGCTCCAACAGACAGGAATTTTTGTCCCACCCTCGTCATTCCGCAGATATATAAACCCTTTTTCCTAATTCCAACAGACCTCACTACCTCTGAGGATGCTTGCCATAGATGCAGGCGAAACGTCGGGAGAGAATGCCTCTAGACCATGGCCATATAGCCCAAAAAAACCTACAACAACCCAGTGATTCCAGCCATGAAAGCCTTCGACAATACAAGCCACAGTACACTTTGAGTGGCATATTTAGCCATCATAGTGTTACACGGCAAGAAGTTTTAATGCCTTATCTAAAGGTAAAAGTTTCCCCTTTCTTTCAGTCTAGTCGCGTCCGACTCTGGGGGGTGGTGCTTATCTCCATTTCTAGGCGAAAGAGCCGGAATGGTCTGTAGATGCCTCCAAGGTTATGTGGCTAGCATGACGGCATGGAGCGCTGTTACTTCTTCACAGAAGAAGTACTTATTGATCTACTCACATTTGCATGTTTTCGAACTGCTAGGTTGGCAGAAGCTGGGCCTGACAGCAGTAGCTCACCCTTCTCCCCATACCTGAACCACCAGTCTTTCGGTCAGCAAGTTCAGCTCAGCGGTTTATCCTGCTGCGCCACCAGGTATCATAGCACAGCATAAGCTATGATACCTCTTCCCCCATAATCTTTTCATGAAGAAGGCAGCGGGCACTAAGTATAGGAATGTGACTTGATTCTGAGTGCAGAAAACGCTCCAGTATACACTGGAATTATTGATTACTTCATCCAGTAAACTCTTTTAATTAAATATGCTTTGGTGCTAGACCAATGTTTCTCAACCTGGGGGTCGGGACCCCTGTGGGGGTCGCGAGGGGGTGTCAGAGGGGTCGCCAAAGACCATCAGAAAACATAGTATTTTCTGTTGGTCATGGGGGTTCTGTGTGGGAAGTTTGGTCCAATTCTATCATTGGTGGGGTTCAGAATGCTATTTCATCATGGGTGAACTAAATCCCAACAACTACAACTCCCAAATGGCAAGGTCTATTTTCTCCAAACTCTACCAGTGTTCACATTTGGGCATATTGAGTATTTGTGCCAAGTTTGATCCAGATCCATCATTGCTTGAGTCCACAGTGTTCTCTGGATGTAGGTGAACTACAACTCGAAAAACTCAAGGTCAATTTCCACCAGACCTTCCCAGTATTTTCTCTTGGTTATGGGAATTCTGTGTGCCATGTTTGATTCAATACCATCATTAATGGAGTTCAGAAGGCTCTTTAATTTTAGGTGAACTATAAATCCCAGCAACTCCAGAATTACCAAATGACAAAATCAATCACCCCCAACCCCCAGTATTCAAATTTTGGGCATATCGGGTATTTGGTCCAGTGACTGAAAATACATCCTGCGTATCAGATATTTACATTACAATTCATAACAGTAGCAAAATTACAGTTGTGAAGTAGCAATGAAAACAACGTTATGGTTGGGGGTCACCACAACATGAGGACCTGTACTAAGGGGTCGCGGCATTAGGAAGGTTGAGAACCACTGTGCTAGACACTTTGAATACATGTGCTGTTGGAATTTGAAACACAATTTGAAAGACCTATGTCTTCTGGCAGGCCTGCCCAGTCAGTTCTAACTATGAATTTTAAAATCACATGCCATGATTATTGTTTATTTCATTTAAATATGTATTTTAATATGCACAAGAATATGCTTTGATATGTGATGTTATTACTAATATAATAAAGCATCCTATGCCATCAAAGCAGAGTGACCCATTACTTTTATGGTGCATTTCCTGGTAATGTCTTTGGTTCATCTGATGTTCTTTTTAGGACATTTTCAATGAGTTTCCCTGCTTAATAAGCCATAGAATCAAAGAGTTGGAAGAGCCCTCCTGGGCCATCCAGTCCACCCCCATTCTGCCAAAAAGCAGGAATATTGCATTCAAAGCACCCCTGACAGATGGCCATCCAGCCTCTGTTTCAAAGCTTCCAAAGAAGGAGCCTCCACCACACTCCGGGGCAGAGAGTTCCACTGCTGAACAGCTCTCACAGTCAGGAAGTTCTTCCTCATGTTCAGATGGAATCTTCTCTCTTGTAGATAGAAGCCATTGTTTAGCGTCCTAGTCTCCAGGGAATCAGAAAGGAAGCTTGCTCCCTCCTCCTCCTCCCTGTGGCTTCCTCTCACAT